TCGAGTCTCGACACCAGAGCGGCGCGTTCTCCTCCTTCCTCCTCCTCCCTCTCTTCTCTCTCTCTCTCTCTCTCTCTCCGTCCTGTCGTCCTCTCGCTCTTTCGCTCTGTCGTTCTTTCGTGTCGGTGGGTCAGGATGATGCAGGAAGTGTCCATCGCGGTGGCGTACGACGCTCACGTGGTGGAGCGCCCCCTGGAGGACGAGGAGGAGGAGGCTCTGGCCACTCGGGTTGCGAGTTCCAAACCCGTGCGCTCGTTCAGACCCGTGGTAGGTCCGTCACTTTCTCTTTTATTTACCTCTTTTCTTTTTCTTTTCTTTTCTTTTTTTTTTTTTTTCGTAGAGAGAGTCGTGGTCGTTGTGGTCGTGGGTTTTGTTTTGTGGCTTTTGGATTTTGAAAGTGAGAGGAAAATCACGAGAGTCGAAGAAACAAAACAAACGCAACAAACGACTCCAAGAAGATGAACTGACTCTACCTCTCTCTCTCTCTCTCGTTTGTCTCTCTGTTTTTTTTCTCTCTGTTCTTTTTCTCTGTTTTTCTTTTTGTCTCTCTGTTTTCTTCTTTCTCTTTTTTCTCTGTCTTTCTCTCTGTCTCTCTCTCTCTCTCTCTGTTCTCTCTCTCTCTGTTTGTCGTTCACTCTCTTCTGCCTCTCTCCCTCTGTCTCTCTCTCTCTCTTCTTTCTTTCTTCTTTGTTTTCTCTCTGTCTCCCTCTTCCTGTCTCTATCTTTTCTTCTCTCTGTTTATCTCTGTTTTTCTCTGTGTCTTTTTTCTTTTGTTCTTTTTTTCTCTCTTTTTTTCTCCGTCTCTTCTCTCTCTCGTCTCTCTTCTGTCTCACTCTTTTCTGTCTCTTTCTCTTTCTCTTCTGTTGTTTTTCACTCTCTCTCCCCTGTCTCTCTCTTTGTCTCTCTCTTTCTCTCTTTGTTTTCTTCTCTTCTGTCTCCCTTTCTCTCTATGTCTCTGTCTCTTTCTTTCTCTCTGTTTTTCTCTCTGTTTCTCTCTCTCTCTGGTGTCTTCTTTCTTGTCTCACTCTTTTCTGTCTCTTTTTCTTTTTCTCTCTGTCTTTCTCTGTCTTTTTCTCTTCTCTCTGTTTCTCTCTCTTCTCTCTCTCCTCTGTTCTTTCTCTTCTCTCTGTTTCTCTTCTCCCTCTTCCTGTCTCTATGTCTCGCATCTCTTTCTTTCTCTCTTTTTTTCTTCTCTGTCTCTCGTCTCTCTCTTTTCTCTCTCTCTCTCTCTGTCTCTTTCTCATCTCTCTATGTCTCTCTCTCTCTCTCTCTGTCTCTCTTTTTGTTTCTCTTGTCTCTCTTGTCTCTCTCTTTTCTTGTCTCTCTTTTTCTGTCTTTCTTCTCTCTCTCTGCCTCTCTCTTTGTCTCTGTTTTTCTCTCTGTTTCTCATTCACTCTCTCTCCTCTGTTGTCTCTCTCTTTCCTTTCCTCTTTTCTCTCTTTTTTTCTCTGTCTCCCTCTTCCTGGCTCTATGTCTCTATCTCTTTCTTTCTCTCTGTTTTTCTCTCTTTCTGTCTCTCTCTGTGCCTCCCTCTCTCTTTTCTCTCTCTCTCTCTCTCTCGTCTCTCTTCCTCTTTGTCTCTCTCTCTTTGTCTCTGTGCCTCTCTTTTACTCTCTCTCTATTGTCTCTCTCTCTCCTGTCTCTCTCTTTCTTTGTCTCTCTGCCTCTTTGTTCTTTCTTTGTCTCTGTCTCTCTGCCTCTCTCTCTTTCCCTGTTTATCTTTCCTGTCTCTCTTTTTCTCTCTCTGCCTCTCTCTTTCCTGTCTCTCTCTCTGTCTCTCTTTCTCTGCCTTTCTCTTTTTGTCTCTCTCTTTGTTTCTCTGTCTCTCTTTTTCTCTCTCTGCCTCTCTCTTTCCTGTCTCTCTCTCTGTCTCTCTTTCTCTGCCTTTCTCTTTTTGTCTCTCTCTCTTGTCTCTATCTTTCTGTCTCTCCCCTCTCTCTCTCTTTCTCTGTCTCTCTCTTGTCTCTCTATCTCCCTCTCTCTCATTTTCTTTTTATTTCTCTTTTTTCATGGAGAGATTCGTGGTTTTGTTTCGTAGCGTTTGGATTTTCACACGTGGAGACGTTCAGAATATTTCACAAGTGGAAGTAGCGACAAACGCAACAAACGACGGGAGGAAGAGTCAGTGACGTAACGTTTCTCTTTTGTCGTTTGGAGCGAACGTGAAGTGAAGAGACTCGAGATAAAACACAGAACCTGGAGTTTTTAAAAGACGGAGACAAAAAAAAGAGACGAACTGAATCAGATCTGAAAGAGAAAAAGAAACACAAACGTTCAGAGTATTTCAGATTGTCACGGAATCTCTCTTCTTTGTCTCTCTCGTCTCTTTCTCTCTTGTCTCTTTCTTCCTTTCTCTTTCTCTTAAATCTTTTGTCACTTTAGTCTTACTCACTTTAATCTCTGTCACTCTTTGTTTCTGTGTTTTTCTCTCATCTCTCTCTCTCTCTCTGTTGTCTCTCTCGCTGTTTTTTGTCTCTCTCTCTCTCTGCATCTTTCACTCTCTCTGTCTCTCTTTGTCTCTTTCTCTCTCTCATCGCTCTCTCTGTGCATCTCTCTCTCTTTTGTCTCTCTCTCCCTCTCTCTGTCACATTTGCTCTCTCTGCATCTCTCTTGTCTCTCTGTTTTCTCTATCTCTCCCTCTCTGCCTCTCTCTCTCTCGTCTCTTTCTGTCTTTTGTCTCTTTATCTCTCTGCCTCTCTCTCTGACTTTCTCTGTCTCTCTGACTTTCTCTCTGTCTCTTTTTCTCTCTCTCATCTCTCTCTGTGCATCTCACTCTCTTTTGTCTCTCTCTGTCTCTCTGTTTTTTCTATCTTTCTCCCTCTCTCTGTCACATTCGCTCTCTCTGCATCTCTCTTGTTTCTCTCTCCATCTCTCTTTGTCTCTCTGTTTTCTCTCTCTCTCTTGTCTTTCTCTCTGTCTCTCTCTCTCTCTGTTTCTCTCTCTCTGTCTCTCTTGTCTTTCTCTCTTGTCTCTCTCTCTCGTCTTTCTCTCTGTCTTCTCTCTTGTGTTTCTGTCTTGTCTCTCTCTCTTGTCTTCTCTCTCTTCTCTCTCTCTTGTCTTTCCGTCTTGTCTCTCTCTCTCTTGTTTCTCTCTCTTGTCTTTCTCTCTCTGTCTCTCTCTCTTGTCTTTCTGTCTTGTCTCTCTCTCTCTCTGCATCTTTCTCTCTCTCTGTTTGTCTCTCTTTGTCTCTTTGTTTCTCTCTGTCTTTCTCTCTCTCTGTCTTTCTCTCTTGTCTCTCTCTCTTGTTTTTCTCTCTGTCTCTCTCTCTTGTCTCTCTCTCTCTCATCTTTCTCTCTTGTGTTTCTCTCTTGTGTCTCTCTCTTGTCTCTCTCTTGTTTCTCTCTCTGTCTCTCTCTCTCTGCATCTTTCTCTCTCTCTCTGTTTGTCTCTCTTTGTCTCTTTGTTTCTCTCTCTCATCTCTCTCTCTCTCTGACTTTCTCTCTGTCTCTGTCTCTCTTTGTCTTTCTCTCTTGTAAATCTTTTGTCACTTTAGACTCACTGTGGGAAGAGGAACCACAATCTTTTGACTTTTACAAGTGATTCTGGTTTAGTCCTGGTTTAGTCCTGGTTTAGTCCTGGTTTAGTCCTGGTTTAGTCCCGGTTTAGTCCGGTTTAGTCCTGGTTTAGTCCTGGTTTAGTCCCGGTTTAGTCCTGGTTTAGTCCCGGTTTAGTCCCGGTTTAGTCCCGGTTTAGTCCTGGTTTTGTGGTGGTGTGTGTAAATGTGAACTCTCCTTTAGCGTACAGTGAGTCAGACTGATAAAACAATCTCTATTTTTTCACACAAACTCTGCACATTTAAACTCTCAAAGTTCTTCTCTCAGACTGAAAACTCTCTGTTCCACCTTGTGATGTCATCATGTGGTGATGCAGGAAGTGCTCCACTGTGTTTTTAAACTCCACACACCTTCGCTAGAATCATTTGGATCATTTCAGCTCAGGAATTGTTCATCTCTACGGAACTAGGAGGTGAAAGGAGATGTGAACTTGAAAACTACCACTTCATGACATCACAAGGTGGAACGGAGCATTTTGAGCTTTGGAGATGTAGACGAAACACAACCCCAGGTCTGTGTTTTTGAGGAGGAAACGAGAGTCACTTTTGTAAAATATAGGACATTTAAGTGGTCATCATGGTCTACTTTGTCTGGGTCTTGGTCGTCTTGGTCTTGGTCTCAGCCTCTTCTTGGTCTTGGTCTTTTTGGTCTTCTCTTGGTCTTGGTCTTGGTCTCAGCCTGTTCTTGGTCTTGGTATTCTTGGTCTTGGTCTTAGCCTTCTTGGTCTTCTTGGTCTTGGTTATCCTGGTTTTCATGGTCTTCTTGTCTTGGTCTTGGTTTTGGTCTTGGTCGTCTTGATCTTGGTCTTCTTGGTCTTGGTCTTGCTCTCAGCCTCTCTTGGTCTTAGTCTTCTTGGTTTTCTTGGTCTGGATGTCTTTGGTCTCGGTCTCAGCCTCTTCTTGGTCTTGGTATTCTTGGTCTTCTTGGTCTACCTGGTCTTGGTCTTGCTCTCAGTCTCTTCTTGGTGTTTGTCTTCTTAGTCTTCTCTTGGCTTGGTCTCGGTCTCAGCTTCTTCTTGGTCTTAGTCTTCTTGGTTTTCTTGGTCTTGGTCGTCTTGCTCTTGGACGTCTTGGTCTTCTATTGATCTTGGTTTTGGTCTTCTTGGTCTTGGTCGTCTTGGTCTTGGTCTTGGTCTTGGTCTCAGCCTTTTCTTGGTCTTCTTGTACTTGGTTTTGGTTTTGGTCTTCTTGGTCTTAGCTTCTTCTTGATCTTAGTCTTCTTGGTCTTCTTAGTCTTGGTTTTGGTCTTGGTCTCGGTCTTGGTCTCGGTCTTAAACCAGCGTGTTTTGTTGGTTTGTGTTGAGCCGTGTGAAGTCTGAAGTCTGAAGTCTGAAGTCTGTTTGATTAAATTACAGAAGTGAAATTCTCCTGAATGAACCTTTTGTCTGATTTTTGTCTCATGTTTGTAATTTAATTCAGTGACCCAGTTTTCCCCAAATCTCCGTAATTAAAAAGCTGCACTGTGTAACTTTTCAGCTGGGGGGTCCGTCACCTGCTTGTTTCTATGGATACGTCATTTCTCTGCTTAGAATGTTCCGCAGTGTGACTTTAAACAGCTCTATTTTAACTTCACATTTATTCAATCACAGGTGGATTTTGAGCTCGCCTCTCCACAGATCTGACCTGGAACTTCTAACTTTGGTCACTTTGAAGATAGAACAGCTTAATGCTGCACTGTGGAACATTCCAGACAAAGAAATAACAAAGCTTTAGG